GAAACAGATAATTCCATAACTATATATCATAGAATTGGAATGTTGTTTAGATTTGTTGGATATTGTTCACCTAATAAATCAGTATATTATTTATATAATTTCATTTTAAGATACACAGGGTATTTTCTGTCATGGTTCCCTGTTCCGAAAACGTACGATGCACGCATAAATTTAAATTTTACACTATGGCTTGCTGATCTCAGCTGTTAATTTAGTTGCATGTGGAGACTGCAAATTTTATGATTCCTGTCATGACAGGTTAAACTTAGCAGGTAGCAACTCTTAAATGTATACATATACATTTCATTATTAAATATATATATATTCTGTTGCATTCATTGCTGTTGTGTTGATATTTAATTCCTCTCCTGTATGCCTGAATGAAGACCCATGTTGTTGTTGGTGTTATTTTTATTATTTTATATAGCGAAAACAAATTCACAAAAGGCAAGGATCGTATTAGACTAATGACAGTCTAGCAGAGAATTGGACTCAAGGAAGTCTGTCAATCTCGCATACACAACTCTTTCAAGGATCTTGGACGCAAAAGGCAGTAGTGAGATAGGACGGTAGTTGGATGGGGAGTTAGGGTTAAGGTTGGGCTTCTTTAGAATTGGGGTTACAGTTGCATGTTTGAAGGGCGATGGAAATATGCCAGAGGAGAGAGAGAGATTGAGAATTTTAGTGAGTGGTAGAGAAAGAGAAAAAGAAAGAGTACGGATGTGATGTGAGGGAATTGGATCTAGGGAGCAGGTGGTGGGGCAGGAGGACTGGAGCAGAGCTGTAGCAGGTGCAAATGAACATAGAACAGAAGAGGGAGTGAGGTTAGGGGAAGTATTGTAAGGGGAAGAAGAAAGATGAGAATTTCTTCCCTGATTGTAGAGATCTTGTCAGTGAAGTGAGTTGCAAAGTCTGAGGCGGTCAAGTTAGTAGGTGGAGGAGGAACAATAGGGCAAAGAAGAGAGTTAAATGTGTGAAATAGTCGTTTGAGTTCGCTGGAGAATGTGGTTATGAGGGTATTGAAGTAATTTACTTTTGCAGAGGAAAGAGCCAAACTTTGTGAGTGCAGCATAAATTTATAGTGGAGAAAGTCAGATGCACAGTGAGACTTTCTCCAACAACGTTCAGCGGTTCTGGAGCATTTTTGGAGATATCGAGTCAGCTTGGTGTGCCAAGGTTGTTGTTGGGGCGCTTGCTGCGTTTAAATGTAGGAGGTGCCATGAAGTCTAGTCGAGAGGAGAGGGTTGAATTGTAGAAGGAGATTGCAGAGCTAGGACTTTCGTACAGCAGTATTGGGGTTTGATAGTTTTGAAATCATGCTGTTGAATGAAGATATGTGAGGGTCAGATAGGCTTGCAATAAAGCTGGCCGAGGGGGATATGTATCTAAACACAGATGAAGGGATGGTTATTTAAATAAAAACAAACATATCAATAAAAGAAGGGAGAGGTCAGAGGTCAGTGAGAAATCAGAGGGGAAATAGAGGAATGCATATAGGTTAATAAAAAAATTACCTACAGGGCTAGAAAAACTACACTTTAGCATGACAGACAAGATATAAAGGCAAGAAAATATACAATGCACACGGGATATATAAAATAAAATAAATGTACAGGGAGGTTAAATTAAATGTAAATGATGCTGTGCAGTATAGAGTCTTAGTGTTGTCTTCCAGAAGGCTACCTTGCTTATTGCAGACAATCAGCTGATGGAGCACAGACTTTCCTACAGCAGTATTGGGGCTTGATATTTTTGAAACCAGACTGTATAACACCTGTCCTTAAGGGGTTAAACTAGGCAATCCACTCCTATAATGCGGACACTACTGACTTCATTGCCAGTACATCAGCATCACAATGAACTAACATCATGATAGATTTTGATTGAAGAATCAGCCACTCAAATGCCTTAAGTATTGCACTTTAGAGACATGTGCACCTTGTGACAAGTTACAATAATTTCGGGGTTTTAATAAACATCCCCTTTGCACTATGTGTCTTCTTATTACTTTTGTGTCCCACCTCCTTTTAAGAATAGATAGAGTGAAAAGTAAACAAAGGAACGTGACCAACTCTATTTGTCATTGCGCTTTTACAAACGCAAACATCGATACGTGTTTTTGTTGGCTCTATTCCATGTGAGTTTAACTTACTATTTATAGTTGTCCAGATGTTAGATTCATATATACTAGTGACACTATATAATTTTTGTCTTATTCTCTTTCTTTTTTTGCTGCATTTTAAACCTCATTTAAGTGCATCTTTCATTATTTTGTTAGTTAAGGTTATTTGATTATTTTACTTGATGGGGATTTTTTGTTAATAATGATTTTCAAAACATACATCCATAAAAGCTTAGCAAAAAAATTGGAAAAAAAATTAGGCAATTATCACTATTGATAACATTACTGTTGCTTTGTTTGTTTATGTAAATATATATATTTTATCCTTTTAAAGGAAATTCCTCACTATAACCTCTCCCCACCAAAACAGCTAGCTTTATAAAATGTCAAGTCTACAGTTGCAAGAAAAAGTATGTGAACCCTTTGAAATAATATGGATTTCTGCACAAATTGGTCATAAATGTGATCTGATCATCATCTAAGTCACAACAATAGACAATCACAGTCTGCTTAAACTAATGACACACAAAGAATGAAATGTTGCCATGTTTTTATTGAACACACCATGTAAACATTCTCAGTGCAGGTGGAAAAAGTATGTGAACCCCTAGACTAATGACATCTCCAAGAGCTAATTGGAGTGAGATGTCAGCCAACTGGAGTCCAATCAATGAGATGAGATTGGAGGTGTTGGTTACAGCTGCCCTGCCCTATAAAAAACACACACCAGTTCTGGGTTTGCTTTTCACAAGAAGCATTGCCTGATGTGAATGATGCCTCGCACAAAAGAGCTCTCAGAAGACCTACAATTAAGAATTGTTGACTTGCATAAAGCTGGAAAGGGTTATAAAAGTATCTCCAAAAGCCTTGCTGTTCATCAGTCCACAGTAAGACAAATTGTCTATAAATGGAGAAAGTTCAGCACTGCTGCTACTCTCCCTAGGAGTGGCCGTCCTGTAAAGATGACTGCAAGAGCACAGCGCAGACTGCTCAATGAGGTGAAGAAGAATCCTAGAGTGTCAGCTAAAGACTTACAAAAGTCACTGGCAAATGCTAACATCCCTGTTAGCGAATCTACAATACGTAAAACACTAAACAAGAATGGATTTCATGGGAGGATACCACAGAGGAAGCCACTGCTGTCCAAACAAAACATTGCTGCACGTTTACAGTTTGCACAAGAGCACCTGGATGTTCCACAGCAGTACTGTCAAAATATTCTGTGGACAGATGAAGCCAAAGTTGAGTTGTTTGGAAGAAACACACAACACTATGTGTGGTGAAAAAAAGGCACAGCACACCAACATCAAAACCTCATCCCAACTGTGAAGTATGGTGGTGGGGGCATCATGGTTTGGGGCTGCTTTGCTGCGTCAGGGCCTGGACAGATTGCTATCATCGAAGGAAAAATGAATTCCCAAGTTTATCAAGACATTTTGCAGGAGAACTTAAGGCCATCTGTGTACCAGCTGAAGCTCAACAGAAGATGGGTGTTGCAACAGGACAATTACCCAAAGCATAGAAATAAATCAACAACAGAATGGTTTAAACAGAAGAAAATACGCCTTCTGAAGTGGCCCAGTCAGAGTCCTGACCTCAACCCGATTGAAATGCTGTGGCATGACCTCAAAAAAGCGATTCACACCAGACATCCCAAGAATATTGCTGAACTGAAACAGTTCTGTAACTGTAAAGAGGAATGGTCAAGAATTACTCCTGACCATTGTGCACGTCTGATCTGCAACTACAGGAAACATTTGGTTGAAGTTATTGCTGCCAAAGGAGGTTCAACCAGTTATTAAATCCAAGGGTTCACATACTTTTTCCACCTGCACTGTGAATGTTTACATGGTGTGTTCAATAAAAACATGGCAACATTTCATTCTTTGTGTGTTATTAGTTTAAGCAGATTGTGATTGTCTATTTTTGTGACTTAGATGATGATCAGATCACATTTTATGACCAATTTGTGCAGAAATCCATATCATTCCAAAGGGTTCACATACTTTTTCTTGCAATTGTATATCTATTTTTAAATGGGTTGTTTGTTCCCCTTTATAGAATTACATTTTGTTAAATATTGGCTATTTTATGATTTTTCAGGTTAACAAGCTGAAGAGAGAAGTTGTTTATATGAGAGAAGAATTGCAATACAAAGAAAATGGCTACCAGACACTGAAACAGTAAGTTTAACAGAGTTTAATTGTCCAAGTACTGAACAAAAACAAACAAACCTAGAATTTGAGCTATATTCCTGTTCAACCACAATTTACCTCTTTTATATTAAGTGCACTCACACTTATTATATATAATTTTGTTCAGGAGAAATAGTGCTTTCATGTCACATCAAATATTTATATATGAAACATAATTTAATATTAATGAAATCTAAAAAAAATTTAGAAATTAAGAATGTTCTATTTTCTAAGTTCTCCGGGGCGTTTTGTGAATGTGTCATAATACTGTTAGCTTTTATTGCAATAAAATACACACATTAGTATGCTGTGATGTCCCATGAGGACAGCAATTTACAGGTATGCCTGCATCTCTCTACACACTGAACCGCCGGAGAGCAGCACAGAGAGTCCAGACAGCAGCTCCCAGCCTAAAGCTCAGGGAAGTGAGGGATGGGGTAAAGGATGCAGGGAGACATGGGGACACTGAGACACTAGGGCACACTGTGAGACATGGGGACACAGGGAGACCTCTGGGGATGCTGAGACACTTGGAGAAACGGGGACACAGACACACATGGGGACACTGAGACAAGGGGACACAGACACACATGGGGACACTCGGGGACCCTGAGACATGGGGACACTGAGACACTAGGGGACACTGAGACCTGGGAACACTGAGACACTAGGGGACGCTGGGAGACATGGAGACACAGACACTTGGGGATACTGGGAGACATGGGGACACTGAGATATTAGGGACACAATGTCCCCAAGTGTCTCAGTGTCCCTAGTGTCTCAGTGTCCCCATGTCTCCCAGTGTCCCTAGTGTCTGCGTGCCCATGTCTCTCAGTGTCCCCATGTCTCCCAGTGTCCACATGTCTCCCAGTGTCTGTGTCCCCATGTCTCCCAGTGTCCCCAAGTGTCTCAACGTCCCCATGTCTCTCAGTGTCCCCTGTAAAAGATATCTGTAAAAGATTTGTTTCTTACAAAATCGAAATTTGAAAAGCTGCATTCCTGGCACTATAGCTCACTCTGCCTTTGCCCCAACCCCCCCCCCCACGTCCACAGTGAGTTAATGGTTAAAAACCCTTTATTTACTTACCTGATCAGGAGACTGACGCACACACATTAGGCCTTCCCATAGGAATCAATGCTTTCCTATGGGGAAATAGCTGAGGCTGGTTGTCTTCATGCAGAGCGTGAGGCCGTCCAACGTCAGTTAGCAGACCAAAAGTCCGGTAAAATTCCGGAAGCGCCTCATGCAGCATGTAGTGCAATAAGGACACTGTACCCAGACCACTTTAATGAGCTAATGTAGATGTAATGTTGATGTAGAGATGTTATCTAGATATATGTAAAATCACATCAAGGGTTTATATGCCCCCTTTCTATAGATGCACTAATTTATATACTATTAAAGATTTTTAATACATTCATTATATGTATACATTTGGATGATAATCCATCTTTTTTGAAGTATCGATACTATTTAGATTTAAGTGGAGCATCTTTCTATGTTATATCATATGTAACTGCTATTTTTAACAAAAGCAGTTCTTGCCTGTTTTAATCTGTACCTGCCAAAGGGGAGTGCCGCATCTTGGTATCAGCACCATGCTATTACCAACTTAGAGTCAGTTTTTGGATCACTCTATACTAGGCTAGCAAGTTTATTTTGGATGGTATTTCACAAGATATTGTGAATACTACATTATTATTTATCTGTATCTCTCCTCCCCCTACTCTCATTAAAGAAATTACAAGAAGAGGTGTGTGCTACCTTAAAGAATCCCTATAGTGTCAGGAACATAAACCCGTTTTCCTGACACTATGTCATCCTTGGGGGACCCTCACCCTCAGGGTCCCCCTCCCTTGGCGCTGAAGGCGTTAAAACCCCTTCCACAGCTTACCTTTATCCAGCACCGGGCTCCCTCGGTGCTGGTGACCTCTTCTCCCCCGCTTTCTCAATGCTCTTCTCAGCTCTTTCTCAATGCTTTCCTATGGACGTTCTGCACGCTGGATGCGAATTTTGCATCCAGCATCGCAGAAGCGCCTCTAGCGGCTGCCAGGAAGACAGCCACTAGAGGTTGGATTAACCCTGCAATGTAAACATAGCAGTTTCTCTGAAACTGCTATGTTTATATGTGAAGGGTTAAAACCTGAGGAACCTGGCACCCAGACCACTTAATTGAGCTGAAGTGGTCTGGGTGACTATAATGTCCCTTTAACCCCTTATGGACACATGACATGTGTAACATGTCATGATTCCCTTTTATTCCAGAAGCTTGGTCCTTAAGGGGTTAATGCACAAAGGTGCTAGAGTTTAGAGCCGACCAAAAGGGGCTTGAAAACACATGCAAGAGTAACACCTCGCTTTCCTTAGCACTAATTGCTTCTATTTGTTTACACAAATATTGTTTTGTTTGTACAATATTGGACTATAATATAATTTTTTTTTTGTATATTTGCAACTATATACAGTTATGGTGGCAAAAGGGTAAGTGCACTTAAATTTTAATGCCACTCTTCATAATATGTTGGTTTTTTTTTGCTTATGTTTTTGTTTTGTTTTTTTCTTTTGTGACTGAACTGATACATCCAGAATACCAGAAGCAGCCTTATGTAGCATTGTCTATTACATTAGGCCTTTAGAACAAAAGAAAATTAATCAGCAACAGGAATATTTTGCCAAGATGCAAGAATCTGACATTTCTGCTGAGATCAAGCTGTGAAGAGGGATTAACGAGGCTCTTTTTGATCTTGTCTTGATTGACATTTTATGCTCAAAACAACTTTGTTGCGCTAACAAGCCTTTCAGTTTTGCCTAATAGAAATTCTGGAGTTGTTCCTGTATAAATACTTTTTGAATAACTCCTCATATAATATTTCAGGGTTATTTCCCAGGTGGATCTAAGAAGAATGTTGTCTACTGTTCTCGTACTGTTGCTAAACCTGTTTTACAGCTATGCTACGCTTTTCTCCCAGCCCAGCATTTTTTTGCTCTAAGAATACAAGATGAAGTGGTGCAATTGCAGTATTAGGGGTTTAGACCTTAAAACAAAAAGCCTGTACAAAGTTTGACAGTGTGAGATGACAGCATTGAGTAAAATTATACATCTTCTCAAAAGAACATTTATATTATGCACATCATCATTCATTCACCTAATTAAGGAGACACTCCACTGCTCAAATACAAAAAAAAATGATTTAAATAAATTACAGTTTAGTAGATATACCTTCAAAGAAAAAATCTATGCATTTATGTATGCATCTACTTATGGTCGAGTATATCTAAAAATACATAGCAAAAGCTGCATGTCTTGTCTGCAACCTTTGCATGATCTGGCTGTCCAATCAGAGGCTTCCGAATAAAGTTCTGCGAGAAGTCTTTGCAAGGCAATTGCTGCCTCTTGAATTTAGCTCCACTGAGATAAACAAACAGGAAGTAACAAAACCTTTTGTCTGATTGGCAGCCAGAGGGGTGTAAGAAGGTTAATTTCTAAAGTTGCCTGTTTCTGCACTTTTTGTAAAATAAAAAAGAGCAAGCAAAAGTGTGTTTGGAGTGACCCTTTATGTTATTATTTTGACATTTTTTAGTCACAACAAACCAATATTCATTATAACTATTGCATTGTATTTATTTTTCTGTTAAATGTCTGTAACTGCTACACTAGTGATGCATCAACACTGTGGCTTTCCATGGGTTAATACAGTTGCATGCCGACTTTATTGCTCTGCCCTTGGTTAGATAACCACAAATATGCATGTCTTTGTGAGGAATACGTTTAACAGCAAGGTATGATATAGTCAAGGCTAGATTATCTCTACATTATCTGAGAAGAATTTTCATTTTAAAATACATAGATCTCGAATTACTTTAATTTTTTACACCATTACTTAATCTTTTGTCATATAGCTGTATTTAGATTTAAAGGAACATGTTACCAAAACAGCTTTAGCTTAATGAAGCAGCTTTGGTGTATAGATTATGCCCCTGCAGTCTCACTGCTCAATTCTCAGCAATTTAGGATTTAAATCACTTTGTTTATGCAGCCTTAGTCATACCTCCCTGCATGTAGGTGGGCCAGAACTTCTGGTACCGAACTCAACCCCCTAATCTTATCCCTGTTACCACCAATGGTGTACTGATCCCTGGTGCTGCCTTGACACACTGGTCTCCTTTTAAGCTAGAGACCCACTTGGAGTCGCCTCCAACCCACCATCCACATTATTGGGAAGCTCATTTGTGACTCTTTTGGGTCTATGATTCCTCTAGCTGGAGTGCGGGTGACCAGTGGACATTGTGATCCAGTTCCCTTTGCAGCCTGGATTCCGCTTTCCTCGCCTACGCACCCATCTACAAATGCTTGAGCACTCTGAGGTGTGGATCGGCGCTACCATAAGCAGTGATGGCATGTTGTAGAATATTGCATATTCTATGTTTCTATTGATTATATATGGATGTGTGGATTGACATAAGTAACAGATGGTATAAGTCACAAGGCTTTCTTTGTCCGAGAACTCTGGAATGTGGATTTTAGGGTCTTCTCCTTATTTGGCTAGAGTTATAGTCTGACGTCATTATGGGCACTTCTATATAGTAACTGAACAAAGAGACACGAGGTCTCTTGGCTTGCTCTCTCTCGATGTAAAGATGTAAGGATGTAACTCTCCCGTCAGGAGTCCAGCAATTACCATCTGCTGTTGAATGTCCATTATCCTGTAACATCCTTTGTTGTTTTATTATGTATCCGTAACTAAGAATAAACCTGAAGAAACCGTAAGTCAGTTTGCGTATTAGTACTTTTCAATAATATAGACATATATTATTGTGGCGAGCATTTGGCCCAAGACTATATATACAAAAGACGTATATATATATCAATCATCTGAAGACAAGAAAAAATTAAGAAGATTTAAAAGTGACGATTCCAACCAGATTTTACACATGTACTCTCCATTTCGGCAAACTCGTGGCATAGGCTGAAAATCTAAAGTGATTTACCCTCTCCATTACTTAGTGGGCAGCTGTTTTATGTTTTAGGCTTTCTTTTTTAAGCTTTATGTTTTATATTGAAACACTTACCACTTTGCAGTTAGTACCCAGTGGCACTATTTTTATTTCTTTTTTCATATGTTTACACTCAGAAGCAGATAGCAGGTACCATACTAACTCAGTACCAGTACAACAGTCAAGTTCTAAGCTAATACGATCTTATTCATTCTTATTTAGACACACTATTTTTGGTTGTGTCACTTACCATCATATGTTTATTAGCATGTTTTCAGTTAACAGTATAGGTATCCACCAAGCAATTACTCCATAGCCTAATACTCATGCCTACATGTTTCTCCTTAGCAATGTTATGATATGTCAATCGTTGATCACTATCTTGGTTTATTACAAAAATTGGACAGTTTTATCGCTTTGGTTTATCACAAAATATGTCTGTTGTTTTATGATGCACTTCGTGCATACTGCTGTCTTGAAACGTCATTGCACAACAACAACAAAATTTGTAGTGCGTGAAAAAATATATTGTGGGGGTCATTAATTTGTGTATTCTAGAATGTAATTAGAATTTTAAAAATGTGCAAAAGAAACCAAATAGCGCATACTTATTATGTACTGTGCAGCTGCAAAAGAAGAGACCATTATTTCTCTCTGTTTATGATAAATTTTACAGTGCATAATTTCTCACTAATGTCACATATATACAGATATATACTATTGCAAATGAAGATTGGGATAACAGATGAGGTGAATGATGATTGTGCAATAGGAAGTTATGAAGATAAATTAAGATTGACATATTAGTAAAACTGTGGATCAGAGAAGGTGG